AATCCTCGAGGCAGGGGTTCCTGTGTGTCATCTCATCTGTTCCCCCACCACATTGATAGGGAGGTGCGAATCCACTGCACTTTGACTGGAGGTATGGAGGAACAGAGATTACAGGCTCAGGGATCAAGTCACACAGCCATGCTTACGCTCCAGCCAGTTTAATTTCAATCCAATCTTATTTCAAGGGCACTTGCATATTCTTTTCAAAATTTAAATAGTGTCAACAAGTTCCCAGGGAAATTCATATTCAGGGGCAAGTGTGTTTTATGCCTTGGTTTTGGGGTCCATAACACAATGGCCAGCTTCCTCTGGACCATTTCTGATGGTATCATGCTTTACTTGTAAGCCTTTATTCCCTCCCTTTCTCTCCTTGTGCTCCTCTCAGCCTTCCTATAAAATATTGGTATAGCACCAACTCTGTAAGACATGAGGCATAAGTTAGTGAAAAAGACTGACATGGCCCATGTCCACCTGAGCTTTCAGACCTCTGGGGAAGTTTCTACATTTGGGTAAAGGAGGTGTTAGGGAAGCTTTCCTTAAATAAATTAGATTTCCCCACCCTTCAGCTCTAACTTAAAATTTCAATGTTATCCCAGACATCTCACTTTTAAAACTTCATTTTGGATATTATTTCCTAAATACCTTCTCTTTGTTCTCAATTCCACTTGCAAACATATCGCAGCAGTTAGGTTGGGTTTACTGTGTTGTCTACATTCATAACAACTGAGTATTTGTATCATAGCACTGACAAAAATAAATTAAAAATGAATAAATGTTGACATTTGCTTTCTTAGAAGAGTTCAAAACCTCTGGAGAGGCCATCCTTATTCATTTTTATAAATGAAGGTTTCAGTATGGTGCCTAACATAATAGTATGCACTCATTAAATGCTTTCCAGAGCTGAAATAGTAATCAACCACTCCGTAAGGTCCTTCAAACCTATCCAAGCAAGCCATCTTTCCTTTAATGTTTTGATATCTTGTCAGTCATTTGTTCCATCAATATTTATTGACTATTTACTATAAATCAATTAGAGTGGTAGACACTGAACAAGATTATTAAATTCTTTGCACCATTGAATTTACTTCTTTTCTAGGTTGGCCAGTCTATAAACATTAGAAACTCCTCTATTGGCTATTAATATTTTAGGAAATAATAACATTTTCATCATCAACTCTATAATAACTGCTCATTTACATAGATCAGAGTTTTAAAGTTCCTGATTTTGTCCTGGATTTCCCATAAGAATTGTCATTGTAGAGCCTGAATACAAATCATAAGAAAAAATGAAACAATACTATGAAAGAGAATAAAATTGAGGGTACAAGAGAAATATACAGTATAACAAAAACTACATCAATTTCATTTTTTTACTATAAGATTGAATTTTATGATTTTATTTTGCTTTAAAGTTTTGTTTATTTATGCATACAAGAACTGGAGTGTAAATCAGAGGTGAGAGGATACACCAGAGAGAGTGGGGAGCAGAACAAGCAGATCTACTGAAATACACTGCTGAGGGGAGAAGTGGGCGAGACAGAAGAAGTCTGCTGCACCATGTGGGTTGCTTCCTGGCTGGCTAGGGATTGAACTAGTACTGCAGTGCCTGGCGATAGCTTGATAGAGCTGTCTATAACCCCTGCACCACCAGGGAGGCCCTGTTTTATTGTTTTGAATAGACAGAGTAGTTACTGAATGGACTCTATTCCTAGCTCTAAAGAAGTCTCCCCATGCCACACAATGTCCCTTGTGAAAATGTTCCAAGTTTTTCCCTGCTGAGAACATGACTTTGCTCTCATTAAGTATTCCCCACCACAAGTGTACATGCTAAACATAACTTTGGAAAATGAATCAAGGAGACTTCTAATGTGGGCCTTTAATCAATGACCAATTCATTAATAAAAATTCATGGTAGTCATTAGCAATATCAGTCTCTCTGGTCCTGCAGACTTGGTATCCAAGTCTCTATAGGTGTGGGTTTGTCAGCATATCTGTCACCTGCCTTGATTGCAGGAAACTTCAATGATAAGATCAATTTCCCTGAGGGGTGAGTATGGGGCTTCCCTACAGCAACAAGTGATACTTGTACAGCAGGTTGTCTAAGAATTCAACTAAATTCTGCTTACTTCTACCAAGATCTACCCAGAAGTAGTAACAGATTCCACAGGATACTCTATGTATCACAGTGGCATATCACAGGGCTCAGTGTCCCAAGATCACTCTATACTTCATAGGCTGGTCACAGGCCCAGGCTACCACCTGTGCTTCTGACCAAAAGTACAGACTGCAGGCTCCCATGATCCCTTCCTCAGACTTCAGGTGCCCATTGCAAGCTCAGATTATCATCTTTGCTTCTGACTGACTTGTTAATTAGAGGTTCCCAAGATGCCCTCCCCAGGTTAGATTAATTTGTTAGGAAGCTCACAGAACTCAGAGAACTCATTTACTGACCAGGTTACTGATTTATTGCATAGGTTACTAAAAATACAAATCTGCAATCAAATGGAAGAGATGCAAGGAATGCAGGAAAAGCAAGGAACTTGAATGTCCTCTCTAGGCATACCATTCACCTCAAATCTTCACATGTTCACCAACCCAAAAGCTCCCAAAATCCCTCTTTTGGGCTTTTATGGCTACTTAATTATTAGATATGATTAACCCATTGGTAATTGGCAATTAACCTCAACCTCTAGCCCCTCTCCCTTTTCCCCTATCTCCCTCTCTGAGGTTAGGCAATTCGGACTGGTAGTTCCAACACTCTAATCACCCTAGTAAACAGTTCCCACCCTCAGGTGTTTTACAAAAGTTACCCTAACATAGCAAGAAATACGTTCATAACTCACAACACTTAGGAAACTTCAAGGTTTTGGGGCATTGTAAGCCAAGAACTGTGGATTAAGATACAATATGAATCAATAATATAACTTGATCATCTGAATGATGAAATACGTGTACTGCCTATAAATTACAATGTCACATTACCCCTGCCTGGTAAATTCTTTGCAACAAACTGTTCCCTATCTTCAAATCCCACTTTTGAAAGAAGTGTTACAGGGCGTTGAGAAGTATCAAATGTTTGAAACAAATGGTGCAGTAAATGTTAGTCTCTTTCTTCTCCATAGCTCATTTCTAGGAAGATAGTAAAACTAGTGGGATGGAGTACATAGGTAGTTAGCCTATGGGAGCAAGTATACCTTCATGAAAAATTTTATGAGGTCTCCCTGGTGGCGCAAGGGGTTAAGACACAACCTATGAAGCTACCCTCAGCCTCTGCAGCATGAGCTCTATCCCAGGCACGAGTTCAATGCCCCACTGGCCAGGGAGCAACCCACATGGCGCAGCAGACCTCTCCTGACTCCCCCACTGCTCCCCTCAGCAGTGTACTTCGGTCAGTCTACCTGTTCTGTTCCCCGCTCTGTCTCTGATGAATCCTTTCAAACCCCCCCCAATCTCTGGCCTGTACCCCAGCTCTTGTATGCATAAATAAATAAATCTTAAAAAAAAGTTTTATGAGAAGCAACGGCCTGATCTTTTCTTCCTAGATCATATTTAGTGCTTCCATTCCATGGAAAAAAAATTCCTCTATTTATGAAATTAAAAAAAACTGCTTCTAGTAAATAATTTTCCTTTAAAAAATCTGATTCTAGTACATAATCTTCCTTCATCATAATATAGCTCCCTAAATTCCTAAACACTTATTAGAAAACACAAGATTTAAGTCAAATAAATGGATTTTCTGAGAACAGAATTGAATATTCTAATAGAAGAGTAAGATTATTTTGTGTTTAGGTTTTGTTTGTTTGTTTTCAGCTTCATATATTTAGAAAAATCTCTCAGATGAGTATCCAAGTAATAATGGCCAGGGATGTTTCATGTGATAAATTGGTAAAATATTCATTACTGGGGAATAGACTTAATGAAAGATTTTGTGAGCAAGACACTATGTGGTAGAGTCTAATATGGATAAATTAAATCTTCTACTTGGAAATATACTAATAAAAGCAATGAATTAAACATCAGGACTAAGAGATTTAGGCTTATTAATATGGTATAACTCTATTTAGCAAACCTTAATTTGCAGAACACTGATACTACTGATGAAATTAATAAGGAGAAAAAGTGCATCCAGCAAAATCCAAATGTATAAAATATTAAACTTTAAAATTTAATAAAGATATAGTACAATATTAAAAGTTGGAAGGGAAAGAAACTTGATAATTTTAAATAGGTGAACAGTATTGCTATAGGCACTATAGGGAAGCATGTTACCAATGTTAAATTGGCAATTCTGTTTTGCAGGCTATCAGCAAGAATGAGTTCTCAGAAAGAAAAATATCTCATTTATCTCTTGAAGTTTTGATATTTTAGATAGTGCATTTCAAAGCCAGGTAGGAACGAGGCTTATACAGGTATTGACTACCAACAAAGAATTGAACAGTTTCACAACAAATTGAAGACAGGAGTGATAAATGTGTTGTTTTCCTTTTTTTTATTCAGTCAACACAACAATTCTTTGTTATGCTGGAGGTTTAATAAAATATACAGTAGACTACTGAATGCCTTTCAAATGTCAGGCACTGTTCTAGTTACTAGGATGTATTATCCATGTATTTAGCCATTAGTGAACAAGTATTCAAGGGTGACAAACATAGGACAATAAATAAAGTAAAAAGTGATAAAAGAGACAAAAATGGTGTGAAGAACAATAGGGTATGCATGGTTGAGGAGTATCTGTATCAGATCATTTTTCTGTGACTATATGCATAGGAACAACAAGTCCAAACTTTTGATTAGTAGAGATGATTACTCCCACATTACTGGGTCTTAAGCAGATCAATTTGGAAGGAATTTGCCTGTTTCTCTAAATACCTCAATAGGATTTAGGTAAATGTGATACTGACAAATCATTAAAATATTCCAAAAGTTCATTTCTAGAAAATACTAAGCTCGCAATGGCTATTCTTATACAAATTAATGCACATGCTTTTTTTTTTTCCCAGAATGATCCCCACTGGAGCTTCTTTTTAGGAACCCAATTTGAAACTGTTATATTGTTTTCAATAAAAGCATCATTCACTAGTTTCTAAACAGACCAGGTGAGGAAATGTTACAACTTTTATGCATTTTTCAAGTCAGACAGTAGCTTTGGTGTTTTGTTTTTTTCTTTGTTATTTTTCCTGTTGTTATTAATAAAGAGAATGGCTTTAGTTTTAGAAAAATTAGTTTGAATGAAAAGATACCATTCAAAAAAGTTGAAGAGGTGGGACAAGCAAGAATGATAAAGTTGGAGGTCTCATTCTGGAACTTGCACATTTGCATAGATGTATATTGGAAAAAAAGGGAAGTCTTAGGTTTTGTGGGCATTAGAAACAATTTTAAAAAGATTCTGGGAGGGGCCTCCCGGAGGTCTAGAGGTTAAGTCTCAGCGCTGTCACCACTGCAGCCTGAGTTTGATTCCCAGCTAGGATGTTAACCCACATAGTGCAGCAGACATTTCCTGTCTTACCCTCAGCACTGCTTCCCTCAGTAGCGTATTTCAGTAAATCTGCCTGTTCTGCTCCCCACTCTGTCTCTGGTGAATCCTCTCACCCCCATACCTCTGGCCTACACCCCAGTTCTTGTACAAATAAATAAATATATCTTTTTTAAAAATTAAAACAATAAAAAGACTCTGGGAGTGGCCAGTGCCAATTTCAGGAGAATTCATGATGAATAAATCACAACAAGAAGAAAATGACCATGGAGATCACTTTTTAGAGAAGTCAGATATACAGATCAGAAAATGCAGTGAAAAATAGCCAACTGATTCAACATCATGCATCTATTTTATATATACATTACAAAACTTTTTAACATTACTGAAATTGGCATAACTATATACATTATAATAGGCATAACTAGTAATACATTATTATAGGGTTTTTTTAGTGAAATATAAAATGATGATGGGTCTCATACTGATGGGTTTCATTAGATTTCATTAAATAACTGTCCCTTATATGGTGAAAATGAACAACTATTTGGGAAACTTTGAGCAAGATAATTACCTTAAAGAGACTGAGAGTCTCTGTGTTTAAAATGGGAATAATATCATAGCAACTCATGGAATAGGCAGGCCAATAAGATAAATTAAGTAAAAGTGCTTTGTGAAATTCAAAGGTGACAAGCATGTAGAGATATAATCATCATCATTATTAGTCTTTGACTAGCGAGGTCTTGCTGTTTGGCTAGAGGGCACAGAGTATTCAAACAGGGAAAACTCATTTGATTGTTCTGAAATTATATAAAGACATCTATCAGCCATAGCTCATCCTATAAGACACAACAGAATATAGGTCCAACACAAACAAAAAACCAACAATGTTTATTTTCCAAATATGAAGATGAGTATTAAGATGTCAATGTTAACTCTTAAATATGACCCTTTGATAATAGTATGCCAAGTCCGAGCATGTCCAGGCATTTGAATGATCTAATTAGAATCATTTTTATTAAATTTAAAAATATCTTCTAAAGTAACACTTTTCTTTTTGTTATGTAGTAGTCCTTCCTGGATGTTTGTTCATGAAATATAATGGAAATTCCATTTCCTCCCAATTCCCTTGCATTATCCAAGGAAGAGAACAATCACTTCAAACATAGTCTTGTCACCTGTCAGAATCTCGTACTGCCTGAAGATGCAGCATAGGAGATAAAGAATCTGACCCTACAGTTCCCAACATCAAAATGGATTGAATGATTGCAGGCACAAAAAACAGAATTAAGAAGCCTTACTAGGAGACAGTGTTACCTTGTGACCTTAGGCAATCCACTTAATCTCTCTCCTTCTCTTAGACACCCAATCTGTAAAACAAGATTTATGATTTCTGCCAGTACCTGTGGTGATGAAGCCACAATGCATATATTTCAGTTGGCCAGAACCTAAACTGCAAATACACTCACTTAAAGAACTAGAAATATGGTTAAAATCAAATCATATAAAAATAAATATGCTGAATATTTGTTGATATAATTAGGTTTACCAAAAATAATTGTTATTATTTCCAATAACTTCCCCCCCCCAAAAAAAAAAAAACAGAAGAATACAGGCAGAGACTAGACCAAGTAAGGATGAGAACTTATTAAGGTGGTAAATACCTCCCTCTGATGATTAAAGCACATATAAGTAAATATCAGAAATAGAGTCAACACTGACATATATATGAGCTCAAATGAATGAAATGTACCCATTTGGGTCCTTTGTCAGTACAGAATCAAGAGACATTGCTGTTGTAATAGGAGATGATTTTCTGTTATGTTTGCTTCCTTTATCTTAAAATTTCTAAATATTTCCTGATATAAAACCTGGCACTTTCCAATTACTCTTACACATAAGAGAAAACAAACAGGGTGCTGTTTACTGGAAATTCCTAATAAACTTTTCTTTTGATGGTCACTTCATATTCTTAGAGATTTCAGATGTGGCTAATAGAAGGTGAAGGTCATTTCAATTCCTCACTCACTGCCAGGAAAGGTCTTTCTCTTCCACTTTCTCTATGTAAGGATCCACCATTAATCTCTTTATATTTCTTAGAATATTGAGAAATGTCAAATACAATATATGGCAGAGTCTTTTAAAAGAAATCTCTATTTTCATCATAGACATATAAAACATTGATCGTGGAGTTTCCTGAACAGAATTATCTTTGTCCAGGGTCTTTTTTGTTCAATTCTGCATGGATTTCTCATTGCCAGATAGCCTCCCTAAAATATCAATTCTACTAAGTCACTTTCTAGCCCCCAAATCTTTTTTCTCTACATTGAATAGGGTCAAATTTATTTCCCATTCATCATCCACTCTTATCTCAGTCCAGTCTTCCCTCCCAAGGGCATTTCTCTAGTGTGCTGTGAGGTGTAACCACCATATCAGACAGACCCATGTGACCCAGACAGAACAGCTGCTGCATTTTGGGGCACTTATGTGCTTATTTCTCACCTAATCCTAAGAATAAAGTGTCTCCATTTTAAAGTAAAGGAACTGAAACTTTAAAAAACAGAAGCAATTTCTTGCTTTATATGAGTTTATATAACTCTTATTCAGTAGAACAAATATGGATATGATGACAAAATGTGTAATTCTCTTTACCAAACTAATCACAGTCAACAGAACACCATATATTTTTCTTTTGATCATGCTTTGTGCAGAGAAAATGTTTTACTTCAGTGCCATGGTCCATCCAAACCTCACTCTTCAGTTCCAATCATAACTTTCTGCAGATAAGCAAAGCTGTACACCTCTGTCCTTGACTGTCAGTTCCTTTAAAGCAGAAATTATAGACAGCAGGTCCTTAAATTACATTATTTTTCTCAATATTGTTTCATTATAAAGTTGAAGAAGGAAATAAAATGGACAATGTTGAATGAAACATTATTTGAGAACCTGCTTTCAATATACATCCTTTTGCTTAAAGTCACAGTTTCCAAGAATCTACTGATGAAGTTAAGGGAGGACTCACTGTGCTTACAAGTGTTGACACAGGGAACCTAATTCAATCTTGTAATGTCACCAGCTCTCTGACCTCTCTGACCTTTGTTTCCTTTTATGGACATTATTGCTTTTTGCTCTCCCATATTCATCCTCGCTTTAACAGAAGGACCTTAATTTCTTTTCTGGATAACTCACCCCTGTGTGACTCTTAAATTGCTGTTCTTGGATGCAGTTGACACCACCCTCTGGACAAATTGTGAAGAAGAGGCTGAGATCTGTTTCATGATAACATACACTTTCCCTGAGCACCGTGACTCACTCAGGAATAGACATGTGCATAGTTAGAGCCAACAAAATCTAATGAGACTTCTATATGTAGCGAGGTGATTACAAACTTTCATAGGACTGTGACTATTGGTATTGGCCTGGAACCTACCTGTGCTCTCTGCCTGAGACTGATAATAAAAGATGGAACTTACATACAGATGAAAACTTAAATGATAACACAATTTGAGCCCCTGGAACAAGTTTCATCTGAAGCTAGCCTCTGAATTTTTAATTACCAGAGTCAATACTTTCCTTGTTAGGGGCCAGTTTGCATTTGGTTTCTAACTCCTACACTGAAGACCTAGACTAAGAGTTAGCAGGTGGAATGATTATGGCAAAGACGATGGCCTAAATATTTACTATCTCGTCCTTTATAAAGAAAAAGTTTTTTGACTCATGATAATAACTTCATAAAGAGATGCATATGCATTTTTTGGTTTTCTTTTCCCAAATAGATTTTAAAAGGATCCTTTTAAAGAAATCTCTTAAAGATTCCCTTTGGCAGGAATCTAAATTTCTATTATTTGAGAATACCCCCAACTTTTTTCCCCCTTGCTACCATAATAATGCTTAACATTGTTAATAAGCATTGTATGAATTAAATGCATATTTATGAAGCTGTGCTTTTCAAAGTGGGGTCTGTGTCCAGAGGCCACTGCGAATAATTTCTAATTTTAGAATTAAGGAAAAGTATTAGAAAGTTTAACAGTGCTTTAATGTTAACTAATTTAACATTTAATATTAATAGCAATTTGATATTTCTTTAGCTCCTAGTGTGAGATTATTTTTTCTTTAATAATTAATTTTGTTTCATTTTACAAAAGTATTATTTTTTTGTAGTATAATGTGGGATAGGAACTAGTTCTTCAACATAGACAATTAGCAACTCACTTTGTTAAATACAATGGTACCTAGATTTTGATTTTATTTGCCTGTGGATTTTTCTCAACATCTATATCAATGTCAAACAATAGGCAGTCATTCTTATTTACTAAATAAAGTTACAAAGCAGCTGCAAAATAACAGAAGGCTTGTGCCTGTGTTATCTTCACTTGATACTGTAGGAAAAATGGATGTTCGTTTCCCAACACAAGAGGTCCAGTTTTCTTTCAGAGATTTATTTCTTCTTTGGGCAGTATCAGTGTTCACAGCTATGCCATCCACCCTCCATCTCACCCCAATTCACATAGTTTGGGTGGGGCATTGTTACCTGTGTTTTGGGTACATGACCTAATAGAGAGCTACACAGCCATCAAGGATTA